CAGGAATGTGCGGGGTCACAGCGATGTCACCTCTGCCTGAGGGCTGCCCCCGAGGACCTTATTTACGGGCTCCCCTTCGGCCAGTTGAATTTGGGAGGCTGGTAAGCCGGCATGGGCAGGTGGATGTGGGACAAAGCAGGAGCGCCCAGGTGGCTTGTCGCCAGGAGTGTGGAGCATGGGCACGCCCTTTTGTAGCCCGACCTCATGGCCAAGTAGACTGGATGACGTCTGGAGTCAAAAGCCACTCACCACAGCCTCTGAGGGCAGGGCAGTCACTACTCCTGCGTCCCAAGCGACTGGTGCCTGGGCACACCATCAGTTCAGAGTCTTGGGTTTCAAGCAGCAGAAACTGACTGATGAATCTAAGCAAGAAAGGGTGTGTGAGGGACCTGTCAGAATCCAGGAAGAGCTGTACGCCGGGTCCCTGTATGGGGAGGACAAGGAGAGCACGGAGACCATCCTCTCTGGGTGCTCCCTTCAGAGGACCAGCCTTCTCTGCCCAAGAGCTAGACTCCTGGGACAGAGAGCCTGGCCCAGCGTGGGCAAGGGTCCTTCACCCCACCAGCTGGGCAGTGTGAACCAGCTGAGGCAGAGTATGAACTTGGCCAGAGGCAGGCATAGACAGGACTCTCTGCTACACTGATCTTTACTGACTTGATTTGAGCCCAAGCCTGCGAACACCTCCCCACCCCCTATTCCTTATACACTGTCCCTTCTTCGGTCGAGAATCACACTCCTTCACGTGACATGAGAACTCCCTGCCTCACCCACCTTCCAAGCTTCCACTGTGCCTTTTCAACCTTCTTATTCATATATTCATGAACACTCACTGAGATCCTAGTATGTCGACTGTCTTAGGCACTGGTGTAAGTGGGAGAGGAAGGGACAGTCCTGCTGCATGGGGTGTCCGCTCCAGTGGGGGAGGTGGGCTGCACACAAGCCAAGGCAGAGAGCCCATTCCTTCTCGAATGCACCATGCGTTCCCTGCTGGGATACCAAGATTCAGCTCAAGTGTCCTACGCGTCGGCAGCCTTCCTTTATCTGACTCATGTCACCTGGGACCTGTCTGTGACCCGTGGATTGGGGACCCCTTGCGGCAGAGACCGTGTCTTGACTCGGCCAGAAAAGATGCTTGATCAGTGTTCACAGAGTGAGTGAGAGAACAAACGTGAAAACTCTCGGGGTTTCTCATGTCAGCCAAAGGTCACACCGAGGGAAGGAGTCCCCATAGTGCTTTTTAAGATTTTGCATCGCTTGAAGGTTCTGTTCTTTTTGAAAATATAAGAACGCTCCCTTCTTGCCTTCAGGAAACATCAGGACTGGTGGCAAGCCTTTGAGAGCAAACTTCGAGGAGAACTGATAAGCAGAGGGGTAGAAAAGATGCTCTGGGCTCACAAGAGGAAGGAGAGGTAATGAGGGCATCTGCTCAGGTGGGCTGAGGAGGGCAGCCAGGCTGCCTGTGAGCTGGGAAGGGGAGGCGGAGGGGGCCACAAAGGGAGGGTTACTGCAAACATGTCAACATTCCTTCCCTAAAGACCGCAGTCTTTATTCAAACTGGGCTTAGTTTGAAGTGAAGTAAGCAGAGAAAGACAGATATCATATGATACCACTTACATGTGGAATTTTACAAGTCATACAAATGAACTTATTTACAAAACAGAAAATAGACTCACAGACATAGAATGCAAACTTACGGTTACCAAAGGGGATAGCGGGGGCAGGGTGGGGAGGGATAAATTAGGAGTTTGGGATTAACAGATACAAACTACTAGATATAAAATAGATATAAAATAGATAAGCAACAAAGATTTACTATATAGCACGGGGAACTATATACAATAGCTTGTAATAATCTATAATGGAAAAGAATAACCTAAAATGGAAAAGGTACACTTTGCTGTACACCTGAAACGAACACAATATTGTAAATCAACTATACGATTTTAAAAACAAAAAAGCAAAGTGTGCTTAGTTTATGAGCTGAAGATAGCCACCAGCTATCAGTGGGAGAATGTTCTGTCATTTATTAGCATTTTAATTGCAGTATTTATTTTAACTAATGGCTCTTTTTAAATGGAATCTCATTAGAAGGAGAATAATTCCTTATAGATGTTCAGACTTTATAGTTTACAAAGCCCTCTCTCACCTTGCTGCACTGAGCCTCCCCACTTTCTGGAAAGTGGGGGAAATGCCACGGCCACGCCTCACCAGCTCAGGGAGGTCAGAGGAAGAGACCCCATGCCTGCAGCTGTTAAAAGTGACCGTGGGATTTAGGGCCATGTAACCAACCCCCTTTTATTTCCCTGAACTTCCAGGCCACCGCTC